TTCGAATCGATAAGATTAAATATCACATTCCAATTAAAATTAAAATGTAATACTTTTAAACTTACATAAAAAACATAATTAACACCACTATAAATAATTACGAAAAAGATCCCATAATTCGAGATAGTCAACAAGATCGTTTTGTATTGTTTAAACAGGAATAATTATAATTTATTGTTGTTTAATAATAATTTTAATTTATGTAGGTTTAAATATCTTTTAACATTTAACTAGTATATACGGAGTGCAGAATTCCTTGGACATGGATCTGGAAAAAAAAAGACTAAAGTATATTGTTTTTGACTATAGATAAATTGTGGGATAGAATTAAAGAGTTTGAAAGTTATACTTTTACACCAAACACCCATTAACTATATTTTGTAATCTGCTCGTAAATAATGAAAAGATTAACAATTTTAATGAAATCTTGAAAATCATCTTTGAAATTCTAGAAATGCCTTTTAACTGATAAATTCTGCGTGGCAATAAAATTATAATAATTATATTATATGTTAATATTTTAAAATAAAAATATACGATGACGTTAATTTATTATAAAGAACTTAAGTTTAACAATTAAAAATTTAAAAAATAAAATTTTAATAAATTTACAACTAGAAACGAAATTGAGTTGCATTGTTTTTTAAGAATTTATTTTTCTTAGCTTCATGAACTGAGCCATTATTCATTCAAAGGCCCGTTAGTTATGTTATTGTATATCAATACAAATTATTAATAAAATGATTATTTAAAAAGTTTAAATTACTGTAAAATATATTGTTTTAAATTTACCAATAACGAAAAAATGTCTGAGTAGTAAATTAGACTTAAATATTTTACAAATTACATTACAACATTAAGTTATCAGTTTTTATATCAAGTAATTATATTGTTTATTTTGTTTCATTTTATGGTTCGGGAAATATTGTTTGAACTGCCTCCACTTTTAAAATTAGAACCTTTGCTTCAAATTTTTCAATAATTCCATTAGAAATATTTGTGTACTATTAGGACTTGTATTTTTTATGGCAAATAATATATTTAAGATGTTTAACTCAGTGTTAAACACAATCAACGATTGTATGTTATGCTAATTAACGTTAAATATAGGAACGCTATTACTCCAATCAATTTTATTTATTAATTTGAAAGATTTGAAATTGTTAGTGAAATAAATCATATTTTACCAAAAAAAATAGCAAAAATATTTATTCAACGTATTTTTAAATCAATTTTGGTTAGATAGAGAGCGTGGTGTGTATTATAATTTATATTATACATAAATTATATTTTACATATTTTACGTTTATAATATTAATATGATTATAATTATTAATTATAATTACAATTATTTCATAATTATTATTACACCCGAAGATCAAGAAAGTTAAACTATTTATAACGCAAAAACATATGAACAAAGTATCATTCAATTCGGATGCAATTATTTTTTGGATCACGTTCATATCGGCGAAAGAGATTGGAGCTTGGTCGCAAATAAATAAAAATACGTTGTTATTATACTCCTGAAACAGTACGTAGTATAATTATTATTTTATTTATATAAGCATAAAATTATTTTACAACTATTGTAAAAACGTGTACGTAGAGTCAATACCAGACGTTCTACAACGATATGTTAAATCACCTTGTTCTTGGTGTCGGATGCTAATCCAACTGTGGCCAAATACATTTTTACACTTTTTATTGATTCCGTCCAATAAACGAACAACATAGAAAATCTGCGTTCAGTAGAACTAATCATGCATTGCCTATACATTCAGTGTTCAAGTATACCAACAAACTTGAAATGAAGAAAATTATCTGCGCTACGGCATAGGTAGTCTTAATGATATATTAATTTTCGAACGAGTAATAAGTTTTTTGCTTAATAATATTTTTTACAATCATTGCTCGTTTGAAAATTGAAATATCACAAAAAAATCCAAGTGATCGTTCACACACCGTTATTTATTTTAAGTTTGATAACACGCGGGTTGACTTTAACGTGTAGGTAGCACAAAATGTTTGTTACACGGAGGCAACGCGTGCGGCGTCCTCTTGACTTCCTTGTATTTTTTTTTTTTTTTTTCTGCCGGTCGGACCATCGACTCCGGAGGGACTAGTCTCGCAACGTCTTCCCCGTTCCCCCCCCCTCCCCGTCATAATCGCGCAACGGTACTGCGGCGCAAACGTGTACGGGTATTATTTAATGTTAATCAAACGTATTGGATTTATTTCAAACGAACAGCGGCGGCACGTTCGGCAACCGGATCCCTCTAGCCGGCGGAGACCGGAACAACAACAGTGTTGACGAGAACGTTCGACGGCAATGCGAGGCGAAAAAGAGCGCGAACCAAGAGGTGTTTTCTCGCCGCCCGTTACGCCGGCACTGCGCCCGCGCGGTTGGCAGCACGATGTTCGGTGGCGGCGCCAGTGATCGCGACCGGACGGCTCCGGTTTCGGTGTTCTTCTACGTCCGACGGTATCAACGTGTTCCTCCCGATCCGTTTCCACACCCGTGTTCGTTATCATTCGCTCCGACGCCAGTGCTCCGTGCCGCCGCGAACGCCGTTTGTACGCGCCGGCGCGACGGCGTCATGATGCGGCGAGCCGTCCACCGTCGCACCGTAAGTACACGATCGACGCGAGACGGATTTTATCTACGGCCGTAGACGCGTTGCGCCTCGGATCCATTTGGATTTGTGGACAACGTGTTTGTCGCTTTTGGTCTGAAAAAGTTTTCTTTCGTCTCGGAAAAATGTCTGCGCCCATCGAATTTTAATGGAAACGTGCCGTGATCGTAACCACCGTTATTGAAACCGTTGTACGGACAGTTAAGTGTGAACGTTGTATAATTTTTCGTTGACATCTGGTAGGGAGTTTTCTGTTTTTTTTTTTTTTTTT